AGGGTGAGTCAAGTTGAGATGGCAACATCGGCAACATCCTTCTCTAAGTTTTACCTCTGCATGGCCCACAAAGGGGTTAGCCAACTTGTAATGGCCACTTCCTTCTCTAAATTTTACCATTGCGTTGCCCACACAAGGGGTGAGTCAAGTTGAAATGGCAACATCCTGCTCTAAATTTTGCCCCTGCATGGCCGACAAAAGGGTTAGTCAACTTGGAATGGCAACATCCTTCTCTAAACTTTACCCTCGGGTGGCTCACCAAAGGGTGGGCCAACTTGGAAGGGCCATCAAAGGGTAGTCAACTTGGAATAGCTGCCACTTGCAGCAGCACAGGGTCTGTACTGCAACCAGCGTAGCATTGGAAGCTGGCCGCTTGCAGCAACGCCCGTTCGTTACACCCTGGCCACTGCGCGCAGCGCAGCTTTGGAAGCTGGCCACTTGCAGCAGCACAGGGTCTCTACTGCAGCAGCACAGGCTCTAATTGCTAAAGCAGAATGCAAAAGCCGAAGCAGAAGCAAAAGGCAAATGCAGACGCAAAAGCAGATGCAGAAGCAAAAGCAAAAAGCAAAAAGCAACAGCAAAGGGCAAAAGCAAAAGCAGAAGCAAAAGTAGAAGCAAAAAGCAGTAGGGAAACAAATGTGAAAAACTCCCAGAAAAAATTGAAAAATGCAAGAAAAATAGGGGTTCCCGTCCTAAACACTTCGCATCCCATTCAACTCCTCGCCGTAAACCCAGCTGGACGGCCTCCTGCAACACTTTCAGCAGTGGCTCGGCATACTTCTCATCGCCATCGGTGACCTGAAAGCTCCGTGCGACGAACCTCGCTGCCAGTTTTTCATCTGACGTGCCCGTGATCGAAGAGCACTTGCCGCTCCCACTTTGCTCAGGTCACCCCGCCTGGTCTCAAGGTTATTTTGGAAGTTAAAAGGAAGACCCCCAAGAGAAACGGGCAGTTCGAACATCACGCGCGCCCAAAATTCTGCTCGAAGCTGACATACCGAACCATTGAGAAGACAAAGATGTACAACTGAAATAACACGTTTGGATCGTTTGGATGACGACTGTCCCCTATTTGCCAAGAAGCCCTAATTGAGATCTAACGTCGGCTCCACGAGCCTTCTGTGCGGCGAGGTGGCCAACATCCACTCCCAAGACAAACCCCTCATTGTTCTTCACGGACCATTTTTAAAGCGCACTCCTTAAACATGTGATACACACACACATATATATATAATATAAGTACATCATATCTACAGCTAATACATGATATAAATATCTCCTAAAGAAAACTCCGATATAGAACTCAGCTCACTGCCAAGCGGCAAAGGTCACCGCCGTGCCGTGACGCCCCGCGCGGCCACAGCGGCCGATTCGGTGCACGTAGCCGTCGATCTGGGCTTCGGCCGAGGTGCCAAGCGGGTCAACAGCGTGGTGGTTTTGCTGGGAAAGGAGCTTCTTGCTCCTAGTAGCGTGGCACTTGTTTCTAATAGCTTCTTGTTACTACTAGTAAGGCACTTGTTACTAGAAGCGATGCACTTGTTCCTGGCCGATCTCGGCCGATCGCAGGAAAAAGGATGACAAAGGACCGTGGACATTGTAGACATTGACGGTTCTCCGTCGCCAACCATCACGGCCAGCTTCTTTTGACAATGGACACGTCTGAGAAAACAAGGCGTGGTGCTAGCTTCTAGTCCACAAGAGAAGCCAGAAACCTCCCACTGCTTTGTACGGTTCCAAGACACCATGCCGGGCACATGGGGTTTAGGGAATGGAACCCAATCTGTGACCTTCCCTGCTCTTCTAATTCGAATCAAGCGCTGACCAAGGACCATTGCTCCAAGTGCCAGGTCTTCCCAGTGGGAGACCCAGTGGCTGATCCTACGACGACCCTCCTTTCTGACCACATGTCCGAACTCGGCCGGTCAGGATTGGGCCCAGGGGAGGTTCCAGTTCCAAACCTTGGGACCACAAGTGCCTGAATGGGATGAGTTCTGGTTTTTGTGGACCAGCGCCATCCAATTCCCATGCCCAACACCGTGTTCAACGTCCCAGGCGCCGACAAACCCACCGAGTAGTTCACCACATGAGAGATGTCCGGCACGTCCAAACCTCTCAGGTTGAGCGTCTGAACCAGTGGTGCCAACAGTTGGTTGCTGGAGGACTGGTCCAAGTTGTTTGATTTGGCATGCCTTCCTGCCCGTTGGACCTCTGTGCGTCAGTAATTAGAGACCTTACTCCCTTACTCCTCAACGATTCTAAGTAGCGGAGGCCATTCGCTCGCATGGATCTGTCAAGGAATGGGCCCACGTCGAAAACCACTCGGACCGAGCCCGGCAATCTCCACACCCACTCAGCTCGACAGTCCGCTCGACCGTCCACGGGGTTCCTCTTTTTCGCCGCACTTCCCTGCAGCTCGGTTGGCTCGGTGCTGGGGTTAGCTCGGGAGCGGCGACCTGGGTGCGCTAGCTGCCGCAGCTAGCAGGTTTGGGCCGGCATCTTTTTGAATGAAAACCGTAGCGCAAGGGGAAGACTGCTTGGTTGTGGACAGGCTCAACACATCTCAAGCAGGGTTCAGCAACGCATCCTCTGCCAGATTTCCACCGATGCAACTTGCCCCAGAGTCCGCTACTTGGAGAGGCCATCTGCAGAATCTACAGAGACAGGGAAAATCATAAGACCAACATCACGCAATGTTTCAATGGCAACGCAAAAGAACAACGCCGCTTTCGGAGTATGCAGGTTCCCCCCACACTCATTGGGGCCAGGGCCAAGCGCGCTCGATCCGAGACACCAAGCCGCTGAGGCGGAAGAGCTCTCATGGCACGTTCTCCTCGTTCTTGGACTTCTTCGCCTCAGGCTCCTTCGGGGAGTTGATCGTAAACATCTAGATTTGGCTTTGCAGGGTCATGTCGGTGGTTGCATGGCCTTTTTGGGAACCATTTCATTCGGCCAAGCGCAATGCAAGGGATGCAACGTGGATTGCAGGATACATTGCCCAAGCCGGTTGCACCGTTGCCGTTGCACCAAATTTTTGATGGAGAACAATCGACGCAGGCGCTAGAGTTGAGGTGAACAATCATCATAAAAGAACATCAGCCTGGTTTTTCATTCTGCAAGCTGCCTCGTTGAATCAACGTTTGGCAATATATATATATATAATATTATACACACAATATCTCCGTTGGTCCTCCTGGTTGTCGCCGTTCATCTTTCGCTTGCCCTCCTGGCCCAACGGCCAACCCGAGTGGCAGCTGGCATCGTCTCCCAGAGCCCTAGCCAAAGGCCTAGGGCCTAGCAAAGTGCCCTTTTCGTGGAAACCTTTCGTCCAATCCTTCACGAGCAGCTACTTCGAGTTCTTCTAGTAACAAGAAGCTACTAGTAACAAAGGGCATCGCTACTAGGAGCAAGGAAGCTTCTAGGGGCTCCTGGCCTTACTAGTAGTAACAAGGTTCGCTACTAACAAAAAGCACGACTTCACCGCCCGACCAGTCCTGTGGGATGAGGTTTTGAGGCCTAAAAGACCTCGGAGCGAAGCCAAAAACACAGCGACGCACTTCGCCGGTTGGGTTTGGGAAGTGTGGAGCCAAGGCCTTACTACTAGGAGCAAGGACGCTAAGAGCGAAAACGAAGGTCCCCTCTTGTAAAACACCAGGGTACTCCCCTTCCAGAAGTAACAAGCTGAACCTGAACTGCTCTCAAGACCTCCACCTTCCACATGCATCTGCACTACACAGCTCCCCATTTTTCATGCAAGAGACTTCCATGACGAAGAAGGACACCCAAGAAATGCCGTCGAGAGTGGATCTCTCATATGAATTGTTGAATTTTCGGCGTGGCGTCACCATCACTCCCACTCAGTCAGCCAAGGTACTTGATTCCAACCCCTTCAATGTGCACTCTCCAACGCAAAGACTGAGCATCCCAAGTCAGTAGCTTCCCTCAGCCACGTAAAAAAGACTTGTGGTTCAGTCCCACTTTTGGCATCACAGCGCAAGAACAACAACCAAAGGATGTTATTTTTTGTCGAGGCCGAACAAGCCACCGCGAGCCGCATGGCCTACATCTTGAGGCTCCTGAGGCAGAAAGCCCTCAATTTGAACAGCTTTTTCTGCCACGAGACCCGTCTGGCCATTGAGTTCGGGCATGGACTGCAAACCTTCCATCATCACCTCACCACGGGGTGTTGACGCGAACGGACCTCCGGACTTCCAGTGTGCGGATCCGGATGTGGTCGGATGGGAAGAGGAAAAAGAACGGTGCAAGCATCCCTGTTGCTGAATGCGTTCCATCCAAATACAATCTGAAAAATCAATGAGCACATTGATCAACACAGAATCACTCAGTGGGAGCGCTCAAGTGTGATGCCAAAGGCCCCACCGGGAAAAATACACCCTGCTTTGCCGTGGACGCCTAGGAAGGTTTGAGAATGAGAACGAGCCACCGAGAGCACGGCAAAGCTGCACTGCAGCCCTCCACCGCCTCCCCTCCGTCTAAGGGTCTAAGCAATACAGTTCGCTTCAGCGAGGACGTGATCATCACGGTGCCCCCGAAACGACGAGCTGTCAGCATCAGTGTCGGCATTCGTTCTCACACGAGCAAAGCTCCCCCAAAGCTGTCTCAGCACAGCCTGCCCAGCTTAAAGGGTCTTTCGCTCACGTCTAGTGTGACTATAGGTCAATTGTGAGGCCAATTGTGAGCCCTTGCCTTTTGAACCTTAAGAGCAAGGATGCTACTAGGGGCTCCTGGCCTTACTACTAGGAACAAGAAGCAACTAGGGGCTCCTGGCATCGCTACTAGGAGCAAAGGGCGTCGCTACTAGGAGGCCGGCCACTCCGTTCCGTGGGATTCTTGGACCTTGCTTGGACTCTGTTTCGTTGGTGAGCGCTTCCCCTCTCCCCTCCACGTTCCACGTGCTGGACCGACCCCAGTAGCTTCCAAAGAAAGTTCCTAGTAGCTGCTTGCTACTAGTAGCGATGCCAGGAGCCCCTAGTAGCGTCCGATCGCTCCTAGTAGCGATGCCCTTGTTAGCTGCTTGCTACTAGTAGCAAGGCGCCTTGTAGTAATGCCAGGAGCTACGAATAGCGGACTCCCAAAAGCAGCGGACCATTTCCACCTTCACCTCTAGGCGGAGCGGCCACAGCTCCCTCCTCGAAGCCCGAACGAAAGCCTTCAGCGAGTCCTTAGGTTTTGGCGGGTGGGCTTTCTCCGAACGAAGGAGAGCTGAGTCAAATTGAGTTTGAAGGTAGGTCCTAGGTCAACTGACACTTGATTTCAATCCGTTGAACCGCTTGCTGGGTCTGTTCACTTAGGTCTTAGCTGTGGAATCCATTGGGGTGCCAGTAATTCACCCTAAAAGCTCGTGGTTGGCTCGCTTAGACCCAACTCAGAGACGACAACTCCGGGCTCACCAAAGAAACGCATGGAATGGCCGGATTAGCTTCAAATCTGGAAGAAAAACGCAAGCACAGCTCCGAACCTGGACTCCGTCCAATTTCCACTATAGCCAGCGATTTGGGGTGTAGAATTCGAGATCAGCATGACCATGTCACGAGAACCAGTTTCCCGCGGCAACATACCTGGAACGTTTGCAAATCACCACAGAACCCTCGACGTTTGCCAGCGTCACATGTCCCACGTGGGCGAGGCCGAGCGTCGCCGCCGTTCCCGCTCGGCAGCGGCCTGGGCGGACGGGGGCAGCGCGGAATGGACGACCCGACCGTTCCAAAGTCTCAAGAGAAGAGAACGGTGGCCGCCTGAAAGCAGGTTGAAGAACAAGGCATGGGCCATTTTGGTCGAACAAAGGGCGCTCTGGGCCAGCCAAGGGGCCCAATCGCTTCCTCCGGATTTCGCCTGTGGCTTGGCTTGCTCCACCTCCTTAGCACGGCTCGCGGCTTAGCCGCTGTTTTCACGAAACTGCGTCTACCCCAGCTGCCGTGCGGTGGGGCGCTTTGCGGAGTCACATGCTCGTGAAGTCGCATGGGGAACGGCATCAGCACGACAGTCTACGGAGAGAAAAGGGAGGAACTCAGATTCGACTGGAACCAGTTCTGGAACCAGGAAGCCTCGCTTGTGGTCACTGGACCGCAAGTGGGGGTTGACTCCAAGGTGTTTTGCTAGAAGGGCCAGGCACCCGGGGACACATTGGAACTTAAAGAGAAGGTTTAGGAGTTTAGGGGAAATGACATGATTTTGCTTGCGCAGTCAGTCTCAAACCTTCTTTTTCAAGGACATCAAGAAACCCTTTTCAGGCCTTCTGACTTGGATGGGAAACAGCATCTGGTCACCAAAACGTCTCCATGCAACGCCTCATGAAAACGCCTCCCAGCCACACCTGGGGCGCCCATCGTTGAAGGTCCAAGCATCAGGCGCCGGACTCGCCGTCGCCGCACCCGTCGCCGCACCCGCCAACGGTCTCAGCTTGGTGCGGGGCACCTGAGGCTCGGCTCCGTGTCTCCCACGGTTGGAACCGTCCCAAGGCGAAGATCGATGATCGAAGCCATCTCTCTTCTGTGGATGCTTTCTTTTGCGGAGTGGCCTTCAAAACCCAATCACAACCTGACACAACCCCCTTCCACAAAATAGAGAATTTCAAACACACCGTCCCACATCTGTTTTTTCCCTCTCACAGCGCGTATTCGGATCGGCGTCGCAGAACGTGCCGTCCTTCACCCTTTTGTGAGGTTTGCTTTTGGGTCGTTCCCTACCTTCTTCAGAACTCCTTTGGTAGGTTGGAGGCCATTGGAGGTCATCCCTAGTAGGTTGGAGGCCATCACTCCTAGTAGCGTCCTCTACCTAACCCGCGCGCGCGCGCGCGGGTGCGCGAAAAAGCTCCTAGGAGCATCACTTGCTTCTAATTTTTATTTTGAATTCTAATTACAGATTCTAATCCGCCGACCCCACACCGTGGGGTGAGGCGTGACTGTCGATGTTAGCCTTAGCCTTAAGCCTTAGCCTTAGGCCTTATCCTTAGCCTCAGACCTAGTCCTTAGCCTTAGACCTAGACCTTACCTCCCCTACCCCTCCGGACCCTTGTTGCAGTGACGAAATCCTGCCCTAAAAGCGACCGGATGGTGACCTGGATTGTCCAAGATTCTGCCATCCCAATTGATTTACATCTTGGGGCACCCTCTCGACCCGCGCGGGAAAATAAGCACGGTCCAAAATGGTCCTGGGCTCGAATCCCGGGCTGGTCGCGGCTTTGTCCCGGCCAATGCCCTTGCTTTTTCGTAGATTTTGTCACGTTTTCTGTTGGTTTATGAGATTTTCAAAGGCTTTTCTTGCATTTTCCTAGGAATGCTCTAGGCTTTGTCTTTTTGGGTACCTGCTTTGGTGGTGCTGGGTTGGGTCTGCACTCTTAAGGCTAAGGCTAAGGCTTAAGGCTAAGGCTAACATAGAGCAAGGCTAGCGCTAAGGTTCTATCCCTTGGGGGTCGGCGGCTGCAGGCGGTAGCCTGGTAAATATATTCTAATTCTTAGCTTCTTGTTTCTAATAGCTTTATTGTTTCTTGTAGTACGACCAGGAGCCCCTAGTAGCGTCGTTGGCCATCGCGTCCTTGGCTTCACAATGCGCGCCTCGATGGCTTCGCCCGAGGACCGGAGCACGCACTTGCAGCTCCCAGTGTCGCCGTCCACAGTGACCACCCGAACCACCTGGGAGGCTTCTTGTTACTACTAGTAAGGCACTTGTTACTAGAAGCGATGCACTTGTTGCTAGTAGCTTATTGTTTCTAGTAGCTTCTTGTTACTACTAGTAAGGCACTTGTTACTAGAAGCGATGCACTTGTTACTAGTAGCCTATTGTTTCAAATGGCTTCTTGTTACTACTAGTAAGGCACTTGTTACTAGAAGCGATGCTGGCTTCTTGTTACTACTAGTAAGGCACTTGTTACTAGAAGCGATGCACATGTTCCTAGTAGCTTATTGTTTCTAGTAGCTTCTAGTAGCTTCTTGTTACTACTAGTAAGGCACTTGTTACTAGAAGCGATGCACTTGTTCCTAGTAGTTTATTGCTTCTAATAGCTTCTTGTTACTACTAGTAAGGCACTTGTTA